AGGTCTCTCTTGAAAATGAGTTCTTGTGACTCAATGAGACTACCTGTATAAATAAAGGGTAAATAAAATAAATAAATAAATAAAATATGTTTAAAAAAACAACAACATGTGTTTTGTTGTGATTTGCACATTAAGTGCAAGGCAGACAGAAAGCATCCATCATGCCGACAATATTTTGGCAACTTCCACTAGAAAAAATTCTGAGACTCAGTATGGCTTTTGGTTGTTGACAAAGCCGCTTAACTTGATAATTAAGTACCAATCTAATTGCTTGGGTTCTGTTCGGTTCTACTCAGGCAGGTGTGCCTCCATTGAAAGTATGGCCCTCACTCATTGGGCGGGATCAAGGGTGGGAGCTCTGTTCCCTTTGTGATCCTTTATTATCTGGTTGTCGGACTTAATTTTTTTAAATTTGTCATAGCACTGTATGTAAGTGCGAGTGTAGCCGTGGGCATCCAGTTTAGCTGACACCTCCCATTAAACTTGTTGATTCCTCATTGCTCTGCCAAGCTCACACTGTATGTACTTGTCTGACAAAATTGATAAAAGGGTTTGTACCTCATCATTCAACCATGGAATAACGTGATTTGCAGCTCTCCATCTCTGTAACGTACACATACACTTAACAATACGATTGAAAATGACACTTCAGGAGGAGTTTGCAAGTACAACCTTGGCTCATACAGCGACGTCAATTCATGGGTCATTCAACAGCTGTAGTTTGCTGTCGTCAAAATCACTTGCTCGACTTGGCTCGCTTGGAACCACAGCTGAGGCGTTTCCAAAGATCAGGCAGGAACATGTAATGGAGTCACATTTGGTCAATGCTGAGTCAATGCAAGTTGAATAAAGCCATGCTTGTGGCAAAAGGGCTTTAGTGAGTTGAATAGATCTAGACTCCATACACAAGGGTATGCAGATGGCTTGGTCATACTTATAGAAGGTTTTTATCTAGGTACTCTATGTAACCTAATGTGGAAGGGATTGAATATAACATCCAGATGTTGCCAGGAGCAGGAACTTTGTGTCAACCCATCCATCCATCCATTATGTTTTACCTGCTTCTTCCATTTTGGGTGCGGGGGTCACTGGTGCCCATGTCCAGCAATCACTGTGCGAGGGGCGGGGGACACCCTGGACAGGTCGCAAGTCCATCACAGGGCCACATAGAGACAAACGAGACAAACAACCATTCACTCTCTCACTCACACCTAGGGACATTTAGAGTTACCAATCAGCCTAACATGCATGTTTTTGGTCTGTGGCAACCCAAAGAAGACAAACTGGATTTATTTTCCAACCCATAAGAATTCAAGGCGGGGTTACTCACCTCCGAAGTTGGAGGGAGTAGAATTTTCCTTGTCAAAGTTCGTTACGTTTCTGGGTGTCTATCTAGACAGAAAGCCTAACTGGAAAATACATGACAAGTGCCGTATAACTGCAGATAGTTGTTGGGGTGTTGCTACCCCAAAGGTTATCGGATAGATCTGTAGGTACATACTGCCCCATGCTATGCTTTGCTGCTTTAGTATGGCGGGTCTGAGTCTGTCAGGGTGGCAAGAATGCACCCACTCAAAATACAACTTTGAGCAATTTTCAGACAGAAATTGAAGACAGAGATGCCTCGAACAATTTTTCTACAATGGACCTGTCTCCCAATCGTTGCTCCTGTTTTATAGATGGATCCCTTCTGAAGGGGTCATTTAGTAGGTGCAGGGATGTTTATTTTGCACAACTATAGAGAGAGATAGTACAGTTACCCATTGGTTGGATTTGCAGCTGTATCTCAAGCTGATATATATGAAATCCGCCAGTGTGTGGTGTCTCTCAAAGACCTTCAGTGTAAACAGAGGGAAATTTTCATGCGAACATTAGAGTCAGAGTCAGAGTCAGAGTCAGAGTTTCTTTATTGTCATTCGCACCTCATGTGGTACATGTGGTGGAGCGAAATTATGTACACAGGGTCCCAGTTACATCCAACAATAAAATGTATAAGAAAAACAGTAATAACATCTAAGATATGAACTAAGAAAAACATCAACTAAATATACACTAAGCACTCATAACATAAAACATTGAACATCAGCACAAACATGAACATGAGTCTGTGAGCAGATGTGCACGCATGAACACAACAACATTGAAACAGATCAGCAGCAACATGAAACAGATCAGCAGCAACATGATATGGTTTTTCACAGTGATTATTCTAGTTAGAGATTCATGAGTCTAACAGCCTCAGGGTAGAAGCTGTTCCTCAGTCTAGTGGTTCTACACTTAATGCTCCTTAACCTCCTTCCTGAGGGGAGTGGGGCAAAAAGTGTGTGTGCTGGGTGGGTGGGGTCCTTCATGATGCAGGTGGCCCTCTTCCTGCATCTGGAGGTGTAGATGTCTGTGATGGTGGGGAGACTGATTCCAACAGATTTCTGTGCAGCCTTCACCACTCTCTGCAAAGCTTTTCTTTCTGCAGCTGTGCAGCCTCCATGCCACACATTGATGCTCGAGCACAGGATGCTCTCCACTGCACACCTGTAGAAGGAGGTGAGGACTGAGCTTCCCAGACCAGCTCGCCTCAGCCGTCTGAGGAAGTAGAGTCTCTGATGAGCTTTCTTGATCAGGCTGGTGGTGTTGTTGCTCCAGCTGAGGTTGTCATTCATGTGTACACCCAAGTACTTGTAGCTAGACCACTTCCACCGCAGATCATCTTATGTTCAGGGGGGTGTAGGTGTTTTTGTTCCTTCTGAAGTCCACAATCATCTCCTTTGTCTTCTTCACATTGATGTGAAGGTTATTCTCTCTGCACCAGCTCTCCAGGTGTTCCACCTCTTGCCTGTAGCTGGACTCATCATTGTTTGTGATGCATCCCACCACCGCTGTATCATCTGCAAACTTTACAATGTGACAGCCTGGATGGGTAGCTGCACAATCATATGTGAGCAGAGTAAACAGAAGGGGGCTCAACACACATCCCTGAGGAGAGCCAGTGCTGAGGGTTATGGTGGAGGAGGAGAGGTTGTGGATCCTCACTAACTGTGGTCTGTTTGTTAAAAAGTCTAGTACCCAGTTGCAGATGGAGGGGCTTAGTCCTAGTGTGAGTAGTTTGTCCATCAGGGTTTGGGGGATCATGGTGTTGAAGGCGGATGTGAAGTCCACAAAGAGCATACGGACGTAAGAGTTTTTCTGCTCCAGGTGGTTGAGTGCAGTGTGGACCACAGAGGAGATTGCATCCTCTGTTGATCGGTTCTCACGGTGTGCGTACTGATGAGGGTCCTCGTTGATGTTGATGGTTGTTTTGATGTGGGTCATGACCAGTTTTTCGAAGCATTTAGCGACTATCGGGGTGAGGGCCACTGGCCGATAGTCATTCAGACCAGTCACTGTAGAGCTTTTTGGGACTGGGATGATGGTGGCAGTCTTCAGGCAGGTGGGAACTGTCTCCAGGGTAAGTGAGGTGTTAAAGATGTCTGCCAGCACCTCACAGAGCTGATCAGCACATTCCTTCAACACTTTTCCGGGGATGTTGTCTGGGCCAGTTGCTTTGTGCGGATTAATCCTCCTGAAGGTACTCCTTACTTCTGCTGAGGTCACGCTGAGATGCTCTTCATCCGGTGGTGAGGTGAGTCTGGTGCTGGGTGGTCTGTTCGGGTCTTCAAAGCGTGCATAGAACTTGTTGAGGGCATCAGGCAGAGATGGGTCTTTGGGACATTGTTCACTCCTTCCTTTATAATCTGTTATGCACTTAATGCCCCTCCACATGCTCCGAGGGTCTTGTGAGATGAATTGACCCTCGATCCTCTTTGCATATGTGGCCTTGGCCCTCTTAATACCAGCAACCAGCTCTTTTCTTGTCCTACTCAGCTCCTCTGAGTTTCCAGACCTGAAGGCAGTGTTCCTGGCTTCCAGCAGGGTACGCACCTCTGCATTCAGCCAAGGTTTTCTGTTTGGGTAGCTTTTAACATTTCTGATAGTGGAGACTGTGTCAGTACATGTACTAATGTAACCCAGTACTGAGGATGTGTATTGGTCAAGATCAAGTGAACCTCCATTTTCAGCAGCTTCTCTGAAAACCTGCCAGTCTGTTCGATCAAAACAATCTCTCAGTATGGGGCCACTGTCCTGGATCCAACATTTGACTTTCTTTTGTACCGGTCTGGAGCGTCTCAGCGGGGGCATGTAAGCAGGAGCCAGGAAGATTGAGATGTGGTCTGACAGTCCTAGGTGGGGGCGGGGTTCGGCTTTGTATGCATCTTTTACGTTCGTGTAAACACGGTCCAGCGTGCGGTCTCCACGTGTTGGAATCGTCACATGCTGATTAAAGCTTGGGAGACAGTCCTTTAGATTCACGTGGTTAAAGTCTCCGGCTACCACGTAAAGAGCCTCGGGGTGTTTGTTCTGCAGCGAGCTGATGATATCATGAAGCTCCTGCAGTGATTCATTAGCATTAGCGTCCGGAGGAATGTAAACAACTGTGATAAAAGTCACCGTGAACTCGCGGGGTAGATAATGTGGCCGACATTTCACTGTTATTTGCTCCAAAGCCTTCGAGCATGAGCTATTCACAACAGTACAGTTCGTGGACCAACTTTTACTCACGTAAATGCACACTCCGCCCCCCCGTGATTTCCCCGTTAGCTCGCTGCAGCGGTCCGCTCGAAATAAAAGTCAGCTGCTTTAGCTGCTATTAGAGCCCTCCAAGGGCCACACTTTCAGTTATTACTGGTTTGGGAGTGTGTTGAAGCAGTCAGTCAACTAGGGAGGGACACCAGTGTAATTGTTAAATGGATACTGGGACATACTGGTAATGAAAGAGCTGACTACCTTGCAAAAACTGGCAGCCAGGCCCACTTCAAATGACCAAAGCCTGTTGTAGGTATTTTAAAAATAGTCTGCATAATTGCTCTATGGCCTGGATTAGACAACACACTCAATCTGCTGGATGGAGTTGACCGACTGCAGAAAGGCACAGAAACTGATCAACGGACCAAATAGGTTTGGGAAAGCTCTCACCTGACAAGGAACACTTTACATAGTTGGAGTTTTAAATGAGCCCAACCTGCTCAACTGCCACAAAATGGTGATGGGACTCCATGACGACGGTCTGTGTGGTGCCTGAGGCATTGAAATAGAGACATCTTTGCACTATTTAGTTTATTGCATGGCTTTGTGCAGTTTGTTGTGTCTTCTCCTTTTCTGCCTATTGTGTTTGTTTCATTCAGCTTCTTGTTGTGTCAGTCTGTTCCTTATGTATATGACTCTGTGTTTTCTGTCATTTTCCACTCACTCCTCAGCCTGCCTCTTCAGCCTCCATCTAAAGTTAAAACCTGTCTTTAATCAGTGCACCTGCCCAGGTGCACTCATTACTCACTCTCCCTCTGCTTATTTAAAGCTCTCCTCTCCACCACTCTGTGTCCCGTCATTGTTCTGTTCTGCACAGACGAATCCTGTCCCAGCCTGTAACCTGTTGTCCAGTTCCGTACGTGCTCGTCTGACATTTAGTTTTGTTCAATTTATGCTCAAGTAAGTTTTTGCTGCCTCGTCAGCCTTTTGTTTTGTGGTTTAAATAAATTATTTTTTTACTTAAACTCCTGTTTCACTTGCCTGCCTGCAAATGAGTCTAAAACCTGAGGATTGTGTCATCATGGGTCTCTGTGAATTCAACCAAGTGCTTTGTTTACACTGAATGAAGACCCATTATCTCCTTTATTTTCCGCTTGTTCTGAAATCGGGTCACTTCATTAATGTTAGTAAACCACGTCAGAATAAACATTACAAACTGATGCTTTCAAAATAAGTTAAAGTACTGCCTTATTAAAAGGCATGGTCAGAATCAGAATCAGCTTTATTATCATTGTATCGAGATACGAGAATATGGTGAAGATAGATTTACATTTTGCAGTCCAGTGATATGTTTGATGTGCAAACTTTTCACCAAACACATATGTCGAACATTTTTACCAGACATCACACCTCGATGCTGTGGTATAGAAAAATAAAGCAGCAAAAATTGTCCATATCCACAAAAACATGTCTTTAAACTCAAGTACATGTCTACTTTTCCACACACTTGCAACTTGCAGATGTTTTTTTACTTTGAGGATATTTTAAAGAAAACAAGGTACAATTCTGGAAAAAAGTGATTGTCTTACTTTTAAAATCATGCCAAAAACAAAGCAAACAAACAAAAAAAATCTGTTTATTCAGCTACCCTGTGACTGTTAAGTTCCTGTTATAAAGTGAAAACATAATTTGTAGTATAAAATCAATACCCTATTGGTATTGGTTAGTGGGGATGGATGAAGAACCCATATGAGTGGGGGCCTTGTAGGTGGGCCTATTGCCCTCACTAAAAAGACAATGAGCTTTATTCAAACCCTCTCATCCCTCAGATGAAAGACACAAGGTCTGAAACATTCAATGTTCTGAGCTTCTCATGATCAAAGAAGTGTTCCCCAGTAACTCTCTTGAAGACAGACATGGGACAGACTGTGTCAAGTATAAGCTTGAGTCACGTGATTGACTTACGTCAGGCTGGTTGCAGTTTGTGTAGCTGAACAAATATGGTGGAACCAGATGTGTCAATAGTGTTGACCTTTGACCTATTTTCAGCCACTTTTGTTCTGCCACAGTTAAACATCTTTCCGTATGTACACAAACAAACATGGTAGAAAAGTTTGCGTACACATTTTTAGAGGACATGTTACATTATCCATCCATTTTTACCCGCTTCTTCCTTTTCGGGTCACGTGGGTCACTGGTGCCCATGTCCAGCCATCACTGTGTGCGAGGCGGGAGACACTCTTGACAGGTCTCCAGTCCATCACAGGCATAGAGACAAATGGGACAAACAACCACTCTCTCACTCACACCTAGGGACAATTTAGAGTTACTAATCAACCTAACATGCATGTGTTTGGTTTGTGGGAGGAAACATGAGGAGAAAACCCACGCATGCATGGAGACATGCAAACTCCACCCAGAAAGGCCCCTGGACCAGGATTTGAACCAGGGTAACCTGCTTGCTGAGAGGCAGCAGCTCGACCAACTGCTCCACCGCGCTATATGTTACATTATGTATTTATTTATTTTTGTTGTTGCTTTGCAGGGTCATGACTTTGTAATGAGCACCACAGTTAACTGTTAACCCTTATATTATTACTTATTAATAGCCTATAATTTTAAATGACGCAGTTTTGTAATCCCGAGGCTGCAGGTTCGAATCCAGGTGTCGGACTTTTCTCAGACTGCTCTCCGCAAAATAATAAAAAAAATATATTTTTTACATCTTAAGATAAGGCATGAAGTTGTTTTTTATTTTTTAAAAATTTGCTGCCGCAGAGCAAAGTTTACCGAGTCTAAACATTCAGTACTCAGTTCAAACAGAAACGCTCTTCGCGCGTGCAACGTGACGTCAGAAGATACGTCTCTCCTCGAGCTCGCGAGGCTAGCTCAGATGAGACCTCAGCTGATGGATAGTGTTGTAGTGATGTAATAGCCTGTTTTGTTGCTACGGATGGCTGTTTGTGCCAGGCTCTGCGGAGTGGGTCAGTCCCGGAGCTGCCGGAGGCGACAGCGGAGCAACCAGCCGGACAAGGGAGGGAGCGATTCCGACATGGACGAGGAAGAGGGCGAGCAGATCGTGGGCACTCGGAAAAGCGACGCAGGCGGCCGCCGCGGAGGCCCGGGGGGCGTCGTCGCCACTGCAGGGCCGGGAGGTGACGCTCGCGGTCGGGATCGAACCAACACCGGCTCCGGACCTCAACACCCCGAGTGTTTAGTGGAATTACCGCCGGAGCTTTTAGTGGAAATATTCTCCCTGCTTCCCGGAACAGTCCTGCCAAATGTTGCACTCGTATGCAGGAAATTCAGACAGCTCCTCAACACGGAAACCATCTGGAGAAGGCGATGCACAGAAGGTACAGACGCTGTTTGGGTCAAATAATGCCTTGGATGTGAAAGTGTCACATAGGCCTGCGTGTGTTGCGTTTTATATTGACCCATCTGTATGAAAACACGGAGGGGGGAGTATCATTACGTCATCAGCAACATCTGGTGACTTTCACTTCTATTTTTATTCTTTACAGCTGATAAGCCTGTTACAGGCCTGGCTGTATGATTTTGGGTTTCTGAGCTCTATTATAATCATTTCACTTTAAAAAATTCAGACCATACCATCACTAAACTCAAATTCCTCACATGTACCTAAATAACTTTCTGATTTTCTTTAAATTTGCACAGTTGATGTTTTTGGATTAATCAGCTTTTGAGGTAAATAATTGTGCAAATTAATAAATCGAAATGCAAATTGTAAAAAGTGTCGTTAATAAAAGACAGAATAAAGAATATTATAGCAATTGCGTTTTAATAAGAGTAATGTTGTGGTAAATTAATAGTAGTGAAGTAAAATATATGCTCCAGTCATTTGCAAATTTCTTAATCTTACAGAATGGACATATTTATCTGGTCTTGTTTCCCAGCTCTATGAAAATCACAATGAACCTATTCAATTCAATTTTGAAAGAGTCCTTTTATTCCATGGCTGTAATTTTGGAGGTACATGGTTGTGTTTTTTTTTTTTAATTTTGTGGCAAAGTTGTTGTAATAATTGAAAATAAAAGTAATCTTTGCATGCAGAATGAGCGATGATTTCCAAAAATCCCCACAGCATGAATGTGATGTTAGTCAGATCAATTAAATGTCACAAGCTCATGCATCGACTTTCATGGAAAACGTCCTTGTTGCTGGAGTTTACTGCTTGGTGGGGAAACAGTTTACTGGAACTCATTTGACTGATGAAGCCCTCTGGATAGAGGGCGAAACATCTCTATAAAAAAGAAACCATCCAGATGACCAGACTGAGAATTATTGGATTTGGTACCTGGATGATTGCGCATGAACTTTGTTGTCCTTGTTGCTGGTTTTAGTGGGATCAGGCTCAGCCTGTAGCCCTGAGTACAGTAACAATAACTCAGTTCTGCCTCACATCTGTCTGTGTGCATTTACTTAAGCTGAGCGTTTGTCTTCCAGGAACGTTGACTTCAGTTCTTGAAAATCAACATCATAACAAAAAACTTCAGGAAGTGACTGCTCAAAAGGAATCGGCATTAGTTTGAAGCGTTATGTGGGGGAAACAAGGTCACAACGGTGCAGTAAAAAATGAAAATGGTCTTTGAAAGGGCTGCGATCACCACATAACTCTCATAACAACCTCAATAGATACAAGTGAATAAGGCACAGCCACATCTGTTTTTTTTTTTTTTTGGTGATTAATCTATTAGGCAAACCTCTGTGAGATATCCTGATGCATGCTCTGTATCTGTGAGATACTCTAAATTATGCAAATAAAATGTAAAGAAGTAATAAAAATGAGGCAGTAAAACCTGCAGTTATTTTGACATCTTTCTCATTATTGGCTCCTACTTCATAACTTTATGAAATGTTTTCTTTATGCATATATAATAACATAACCAATTAAACTGTTTTTGAAACACATCATTAGTGACAAAGTGTCTGAAGATTTACACTGTAAAATTTGTCTTGGATTCATTGTCGGCTTAACGCTCGAGTGTTTCGTTTAGTTTTTGTAGCTTAACGATGAAAAATCTTAGGAGTTTGTCCAATATAGATCTCAAGTGAAATTAATTAAAATAATAAAAATGATAAGGCCTTCAGAAACCCCTAAGAGCTATTGCAAATAATGTGGCTCATTGCAGCATAAATGGAGTGATTAAACAAAACTGAGTCATTAATGGCAATGCAAAATAAACTTAAGAGTATTAAACCACTTTACAACACTTCTACTTGTGTACTCCGAAAAACACTTAGTTTACTTCATATTTTAAGCAAGATCAAAAAAATACGCTAGTGCATTTGTTTTTCAGTCATAGCTTGTAGTTCCTATAAAAACATACACAGAAAAAGTCAACGTGAAAACAGGAAATCTACAGTATAAGTCTGTTGATTGCTTTTTGGATTGGCACTTTCTGACTTATGAAATCCACGTTTGTTGCATACAAAGATCATTGAATACACACCTTAATATGACTGAAACTATATGTACGTTTCCACAGTTGATTTATTCTACAAGTTATAGAAAAAAATGTAATTCCTTCTCCTGTTTTTGCTATCCAGAGTTTGGCATGAATGAGGATCTGAGGAAGATGGAAGCAGGAGGCATCTCCAGCCAAGACCTCTACGTCAAACGTCTGTATCGCGTCTCTCCCGCCACACATTATCATGCATTTAGTTCATTTCTACTTCCATGGGTTACTGGCATATATTAATTCTAGTCTTTGTGTGTCAAATAAGAATAAAAAAAAGTGGACTTTAATACACAGCAGATGGAAAACACTGTTGTAATTAAACTGTCTGCTGTTGGTGTAAGATTAAAAAAGTAGCTGTGTTTCTTCCCATCTGATCCTCATTTATCAGCAATAATGTCAAACATGCCGGTATTTACTTTTGAACAAACGTAAAGAGCCAAGTGGTTTCAAGTGGGTATTTAAATGAGGTATTTTGACACATAAGATATTTATCAGTGGGCTGCATTGGGCTGAGCTCACTTTGGTCCATGGCTGCTCTACACACACATGTATTGTGCCTGTGCAGGTGTCAGTCCGAGGGTGAAGTCGGGGCGCTTTATGAAGCTCCTCCCAGACTATGAGAACATGGACTATAAAGACGTGTACACGCACTGTATGTACATGCTGCAGCATGATGGGTTGTGTGTGGGGGCAGTCTGGCAGTTTTCCACTTCCTGTGCTAATGGTTCATGTGTTAGTACTTTTTCTCTGCATTGTTTGCTTGCATATTAACTCTGAATTAGGAGGGGAGGTCCTTTGGTGTGCTGTTACATAACTTGGCTGACAGGAACAAATTCAGTTTTTTGCTTTCATCTCTTTATCACACCTCACTGTGGTTTTAACTTCATATGTTGCAAGTTTGACTTTGCACAAGTACTGTATTTTTCCAGCTTATAAGTTGCAGTTTTTTGCATAGATTTGTCATTCCTGCGCCTTATACGCTGAAGTGACTTATATACGGAGGTTTTTTCCATATGCGTAATGCAATTTTTGACGGGCTCTTTAAATTTCTAAGAACTGCAACAGCGAGTCCTCCCGTGCGCACTCGCTTCACTCAGCTGGTGCAGGCAGAGGAACGCTGGAGAGCTAGCGGCTCCGGCCGCGATGAATGGCGCTGCACCACCCAGGCAAAATAAAGCTGTTATGACTATTAAATAAACACATAATAACATGACGGGTCAGTGGTGATGCATAATAAATGCAACTTATACACCAAAGCGACGTATATATGTTTTTTCCTCTTCATGATGCTTTTTTTGACCGATGCTACATATACTTGGGAGCGACTTATACGCCGGAAAATACAGTAATTCCTAAAAAACACTGTGTAATAACCCTTCAGAAACTGATGAGCGCTGTTGTGATCTTGTGTTACAGTGCTTCACCCTTACAGACATATTTTGGGGCTTTGGCAGCCTGACATTGGCCCCTACGGTGGATTGCTTAATGTTGTGGTAAGTGTTTCACTTAAGAAAGATAAGGGATAATGACTGCAACTGTTTGTTGATCTTGTTTGTATGAAAACATAAAGTCAAATGGCCATTTATGACTTAAAAGCTTGGCAAATAAAACATATTTATGATCAGGAATAAATAATGCAAATATTTTACTCAGGTGGATGGGTTGTTCATCATTGGCTGGATGTATCTGCCACCTCACGATCCTCGTGTAGAAGATCCCATGAGAAGGAGGCCACTGTTCCGAATTCACTTGTTGGACAATAAAAAGGCCACTGTGGAGTGCATGTATGGACACAGGGGTCCTCACAAAGGAGATATACAGGTGAGGGCATAAAATGTTTCAAGAATAAGCTCTAAAGAATTTGATGAGGGATGCACAATATTGGATTTTTGATCGATATCCAATATGCCAATATGTTAAAGCTTATTTGGCCAATAACCAAACAATATCAATACCACTATTTTTTCCTAGACCAATTTACAGAGACTACATCACTTTCTCTGCTGTGGAATTAAAATACTGCATTATTCTGCGTGGTCTTTGTCAATTTGGCCTGCTACCAAATCAGATGCCATAAAGGGTTCTGAAAATGTTGTAACACTTCAACTGGGATTACCCGTATGTTTAATGTCAAATTTATTCGCAACATTTACTCTCTCTAACAAAATGACCACACTCGAACAGTGCAAATTTGTAAAATTTCACAAATCTAAACTCAACGGCGCCCGTGATGTCATAACGTTGTGCTGGTGCTGCAGGCATCCTTGCCATTGGGTTGTCATACAAAACAGTGCCTTATATATATATATATATATATATATATATACATACATACATACATACATACATACATACATACATACTTATTTATTTATTTATTTATTTATTTATTTATTTTTAATTGAATTTTTTTTATTATTTTTTTTTTTATTGGTGCGCTATTTTGATTAAATGTCCGATATTTACCTTTATTGCTATTATCGGTCGATACTGATACCATGCCGATAATATAGTGCATCCCTAATCAATATGTTTAGTTTGAAGTTAGTAGCATACGAAAAGTTGCCTTATTTTATTGTCATTTTTTAAATTATTTTAGACTGTAAAGAAGGACGAGTTTTCAACAAAATGTAATCAAACTGATTATCACCGGATGCCAGGAGGCAGACAGGAGGTGGGTCTGCTGTTTTTGTTTTTCTAACATTTGTACTATAATGCTGTATTTTAAGCACCTTATTGTACGTATATCTGTGCAGGAATTTAGAACTTGGTTGGAGGAGGAGTGGGGTCGTACACTGGAAGACATCTTTCACGAACACATGCAGGAGCTCATCCTGATGAAGTTTATTTATACCAGTCAATACGAGTATGGCTTTTTTATCCTGAAATCACTTTTTCTATAGCTGATAACAGTTGAACTTTAATGCTTTTGTGTTTTAACAGTTGAGTTTGAGCTGACCTGTAGCTCTGTTGTGCTTTCTTGTCTCAGTAACTGCTTGACGTACCGGCGGATTTACCTGCCTCCTGCGATGCCCTCCGATCTGCTGGAGCCCGGCTTATTTAAAGGTACATACGGTAGTCACGGCTTGGAGATCGTCATGCTCAGTTTCCATGGGACTTCTGTGAGAGCCACTAAACTCACTGTAAGTTTATGAACCATCGCTTAGAGCATGCTTTTTTTATTGCACAGTGCACGTGAACTGTGAGTTTAATTTTAATCCTTCATACAGGGAGACCCCAATGTCCCTGCAGGGCAACTCACTCTGGATATTGACTTGAATCGACCTGTGGTCCTCCCAGACTTGGAGCAACAGCGCAAAATTGAAGAGCTGTCACAGATTATAATGAGGATACACGATGAGATACAGAAGGAGGCAGAACAGCAGGCCAACGGTGCCTTTTCAACAGCCAGATGTGCAGCGGAGGGAGCCTGTGGTGGTGCAAGTGAAGCAGAAGCTATGGAGGAAGACCACGGTGCCTCTTCTGACAGCTGCCAGTCAGGCCCCAGCGGGAGCAGTCATTCTTCTGAAGCCCTGCCCTTCGTCCTGCCTCTGGGGGTCATGGCTCGCAATGAGGTGTACCCTCGCACCTGCAGGAAATGGTGAGGCCCTTGAAACACTGAAGAGTTTGTTGAAAATATTTAGTGTTGAAGTCTAAAAGTTTTACTTATTTTCCATGCAGAAGATTAAAGAAACATTCTACAAACTTTTAATTTTCCAATTATATTGAATCACAAGGGAGACAGAATGAACACACGCCAGTTTGTTACATCAATTTCTGCTATTGCCCATTTGTTAGTGGAACAAAACTAATTGACGTCCATTGATGTGTTTGTTTCAGCTTCTATGGAACTGGCCTGATTGCTGGCCACGGCTTCACAAGTCCAGAGCGCACCCCAGGGCTCTTTGTGCTATTTGATGAGGACCGTTTTGGTTTCATCTGGCTGGAGTTGAAGTCTTTCAGTCTGTACAGTCGGCTGACGGACCACCTAGAACACGCCCATGCCCCGAGCATGGAGCGGTTTGAGGCCATGCTGCGCAACATGCAGTCTTGGACATCCTGATACATTAAGCTTTAAGTCTCCATCCTCATTGCAAGGCAAAGTAACCATTACATGTGAATCACCTCTGCTGATATTTCATGACCTTAACTCTTCAGGTTCTGTCTGTAAAAGGTATTTATTTTCCTGAGTCATCTTGACATTGCACACTTGTGTGTCTGCTCTTGTACATGGACTCTGAAGGGCCTCCCAGGTAACTGTTTTATCACCTCAACCTGATGTGACCTTCATCCTCTAGTGCAGCATGATAACAGGTCATATAAAATGTATTCCCTGCAGAGAAAAAAGCAATCCTATCTCTTCTGTCAACTATTAAGGAGCGAACTATGTGCCTGCGATTCCAAAAAAGTCTGTACTCGACTGCGCTTGAAACAGAATGAGGGTGGCCAATGTATTCTGCTACATAATAGTATTACACCAATTTTAGTGCCCAACATGTTCAAGTGCATGCTGCGTTCATTTATTCGTATTGCACACATAACCACTATCTGAACATGTTTGTTTTAATTAAGCAGCATGCCTTGCTTTTCCTTTTTGTTTAGCCTGTAGAGACATAAGAGACATCTCAGGTGCTTTTATTGGCTGCAAAGCGAGACAAAAGTACACGTATAACAAAACTAATTTACATCAAATATTTAATTAAAACTGTTTTCAACTGGTCAGTTTTCTAACTTTTTGAGTATTTTCATCTAATACTAGATACACCACTTAGTTTTGACCTGACTGATCCATTTTTGCCCTTTGCAGTGATATGCATCATACTTAATATCACCACACCCAATATATTAGCCTGTTATGTAAGATGCAGTGATGTGCTGGAAAAAGTAACCTTTGCAAGAGTTGCCATTAATCAAACGTCTGCTTCTGTCAAAATGTTTCCTCACATTTTTCAAATGTAGTGGATGTGTTGTTCATTTTCATGCCTGACGGTTTGCATGGCTTTAGTCATGCAAAACTTTAACCTCCATTTTCCCCTTAATGATTCCCAACCAGTGACAAGACTAGCAGGTCATAATTCAAACCATCTGCTCAAAGTGCATCTTCAAGTTTCAAGTAAATGTCTGTATGTCTCATCACGGCTTGATGGTGTTGCCCAGTAGCTTTTCTACTCCAAGTGCACTTTTCTGGGCAGTTTATGAAATCATTTAAAAACCAGTGGCCAACACTTCTGTTGTTTTTAATCAGATTTTTTAACATTTGCGAAACAAGCGTCTGCTAAAACGTCCTTGTACTTTTCATCAACTTCATCTCATCTTTTTTTAATTTAAATTTCCCCTGTAAACCCAGCTCTTTAAATAATTTGCCTTTGAAGTGTTGCTTTGTATTGTTAACAATGCATTACGGCTGACTTTATGAAAGAAAAAAAAAGATTTTGACTTTTTGAACTGCTCACATCAGACTTCAGGGAGCTTTTCAGCTTAAGCACTCTTCTCAGTAATAAAAGTATGAAAATCAATAAATCCTCTTGTCACTTCAGTTTATTTTTGAAGGTTTGCTTCACATTATCACACGAGAGTTGTTATCACCTTAAAAGAGGTTTAATTTTTCACTTTAGTGCTACTATTGAAATAAGTATAATAGAATTAAACGTTTAGTGGTTTAGATGTTATAGGCATTCAGAAACAGCTGGGATATTTTATCATTTCCTCACTCTATTCAATATGTTTGCACACACTGAACATGCATAAATAGTTTATTTTTTATATGATAAGCCAGGCCGGAAGTTACTAAATATTCACATAAGAACAGCAGTACCTTGAAGTTATCTGCCTATAAACAAATGATGGACCTGGACACAATAGATGTATTTATTCCACCATCTAGACGGGAGTTTATTACAGCTCAATGCGATCCATATTCTCCTCATGCTGCTTCCTCTTCTCTGGAAGAGTCTGAGTCACAAAGATGAACTGGTCCTTCTTCAGATGATGACCAGTTGCCTGCTTCTTCAAATCAATTGCCAGGTATTCCTCCTCTGCTCCATACTTTGGCCAATGGACAAGGCCGTCTCCATTGGGAGACCTAGACACACAAAAGTTCTTAACATTTCATCATCGGTGTGAATACTAAGGTTCAATCGGCAGCAATTCCTACCCTGTGCGAGCAAAGTTGCCCCAGTAGCTCATCATGATTCTGCTCAGCTCTTCCTCTTCCTCAGTACATGCATCTAAATTGAAAAAGAACTAATGAGGGAAAACTGCCAGATACAATCACCGATGAAACTAAAAGTGGATCACCCAGACAGATTAGTGGAAATGACATAAAACTGCATGTGTTGTAAGGCTGACTGTACTGAAGTGATTATAGTATCAGATCAAATGGGTAATAAGAGTTGGCAGTATGGGAACACTGCTCGTTCCATATTAGTAGGGTGTGGCTTTCCCACAGACCTGGATACAAGCTGCAATTCAGTGCAGAAAAGTGACACCGTCCTCTCCTGTGATCAGCTGACCAACAGCTGTTAGAGCTAGTCCTCAAATGCTAGCAAGCGGGCATTGGCGTTTAAAAGAGCTGATTCCATACATGTTAGATTGGAAACAGATGGGGGATGTCTGGCCATGGAACAATGACAGACAACTTGACGGACATGTAGATGGGTGTTGTCAGACTCAAAGACTAGCAAGGTGCTGTTACAGAAGGGGTAAGACAAACGCAAGGTTTTAATGTTAAAATGCTGTGCCATCAAGGTCCCCCTGAATCTCGAGAGGTGATCTGAGGTCAAACCCTATGATTCCCCACACTATGAAGCTAGAAGTAATGCTGTGTCTCCACAACATTGGTAGGTTTGGTCCTCTACCTTTGGTGCCACTATATTTACACTATATTTCGACACTGTGTGAGATGACACTGGGTGTTGTAATGAGTCTGACCTGATCTGTAATACTTGGCACCCAACTGAGTGGTGTATTTTAGTAGACCAGACCCTTCACAACACTTGCATGCCCTCATGCATCTATTGGTTCCAAAACTGGGCTACTGGAACATATCCATGCCCCACATGACAGGCAGTTGCATGATAGGATTACCTGGTGATACGCAAGCCCACCATGTGACCCCTGTCAATTTCATCAAACACTGGTAATAATGGGTTTACAAGGCATGGTTTATCCTTTGTGACTTTCTCACACCGTTTTGACTGACTATTGGAGATTTTGGCAACTGCCTAACAACACCAAAACTTCTGATGCTACTACTTATGCCCTTTAATATTGTACCATACCATTTTATTTATAAAGCACTTAAAACAGCAGCAAGGCTAACCAAAGTGCTTTAATGTTTATTTGACCATGCCCGCTAATTGCAAATCAGATCATTTATATACCCTTAGCTTTTCTGTATGTGTAGAACATCATGAACAATCCTTCTGGGGGATTTGTGTATTGTCAGTGAGCGTATTTGTGGGTTTGTGAAAATCACACTTACGAACTAATTTAATGTGGGTAGTTGTGAAGCAAAATCCAAACACCGTAAAGATTTCATCTCCGTGGTCACTTCTAACAAAGCTAGGCCTTTTCTTCTGCAGGAATATGGGAGGATGCTGGTACTCGTACAAATATACCGCAGCGCCTGCGTCTGGTGGGATGAAGAAAGGAATGACGTACAGTATGTGAAAGTATTTATCAAACACTAAATTGATTTCCAAAACCCTTCCTAAGAATTACCTCTGTGAGCATTAATAGTTTTGATTGCTGGAATAAAAAACAGTAAATCTCCAAGCAGCTCAGTGAATGCGTCTCTGTTTTTCACACGGTCTGTGCCAGTTCCGATATATTTATTTACAATCAGATCTCTGATCAGTGCGTCTTTGGGCTTTGGAGAACAGAGTGGAAATAAGACATGTTAATGGTGACAGATCATGCACATAAAAAAAAAAAAAAAAAAAACTACTGACAAGATACTGAGTGTCTTACATCCGAGTAAAACATGGACACCATGTTTAAAATTGCCTCTTGGTCCATTCCTTCAGTCCAGTTTGGAGGTGCAAAGGCCTACAGAAAAGACCCAACAAAAGACAAACACAAGATTTTAACAAAAAGTTATAGGGTCTCCTCTGTGCTCATCTGAAAATAAATGACTTCTTGATTCAGGACTTACATCACCAAGAAGATATCCACCTTCATGATTATTTATGCCAGTCATAAATGGTACAGTGAGGAGTTCGTGTGTACGATACAACTCGTTCATAGGTTTTTTCAGGAAGTGCCCATTAATATTTAGAGGAAATTGCAGAAGTATCTCCTGGAGTGGCAAAAAAAAGTTAAAAAAAAAATAAAAAAAGTGGAAACATTGTAAAAAAAAACATCAACAGGTGTTATCAAAAGGAAATTGTCTAAGTTAGGTAATAAATAAAGTTTAATGACGCATCTCACCTTTCCAAATCCCTCTATGGTATCAATATCAAGGTTTCTCAAGCAGTCACTGATCTTCTCCGGATTTTCAAGGCTACAGCCAGATACGTTTGCAACCATCTGATGATAGATAGTCTCATTCATTTAGATTTGTTAAAAAATATGCTATGATATTTACTCAAAAATAAAATCACCAAACCTTTGACAACTAACCTGCCTTACTGGTGCAGGATCATTCAAAAGCAGTGTCTCTAACGCTGCTGTTCCACTCTCGGCGATGGCACGATGGAACAGCCCGTCGGACAATGGTGAGAGAAGCTGCGCATTCAAAAATTGAGACAATTTTAAATGTTTGTTTGCAATAATGCCCACTAATCTGGCCATTTTGGATCTTGAAAGTACCAGCAGGACTCAAAGCTGAGAAGAAAAAAAAAAACAGTCTGCCTGAAGAAAATCAACAATTGTGGCTTATCTGAATCTGACTCCCCCGTTTGGCCTTGAAAGCAGGCCGGCTATCAAATTTCTCCTGGGACATGGGTAAACTAAGGAAAAAGCTTTGTCTAATACCACTATTTATCCTTATGGCCTTTAACTTTTTCCATCTAAATAAGTATTCTGATAAAGAATAAGAGGCCGCGCTCCTGTAGCAGCAGCAACATGCACTCCGCCCATCTTTCGGACGACTGTACGAAAATAATCTCACTGTGCTGTATCACAGTACAATGATAATAAAGCTTATTCTGATTCTGATAGCAGCAGAGATTATTTTTCCAACTTTATCTCCAGATCAATTCATACCAAAAGGGACACGCTCACTCCACCCGCAGACTCCCCAAATATGGTGACTGAATCAGGATCTCCTCCAAAGTTGTGAATGTGCTCCTGGATCCACTTCAGGGCTTGGATCTGGTCCAAAAAGCCAAAGTTCCCAGAAATCTGGTCATCTTCAGTGCTGCATAAAACACAAATAACTGCTGACGTGTGGCACAGATCTGGAAAATGATCACAACACGTTCTGTGTCAGTAACCCATTTACCTGAAAAAGCCCAGAAATCCCAGTCGATACTGGACCAGAACCACAACCACATCCTGGTAGGCAGCCAGAGCAGAACCATCGTACATCGATGCAGCTCCAAGAGTTAAGCCCCCACCGTGGATCCACATCATGACCTGAAAAGGTATTTAAGTATCTTTCAAACATTTTCTTCCCCACTGCACTCACCAAACAATGACTAATCCTCAAGTACAAGAGTTGGCAACAAAAATAAGGATGTCACCTATTTTTGTATAAACTAGACCAGTTTGACACAAGTCTGAAACTCAGCTGGAAAATATGAAATATAAGAACAATTCTTACTGGAAGCTTGGCATCAGGGGCTCTGTTTGCAGGAGTGTAAATGTTCAGGTAAAGACAGTCCTCTGAAATTCCAGGAACATTTGCTGCAATGCCTCCAAGTTTTCCAAACAATTCTTTTACAAGCTCCATATACTGAATGCACCTGAAGATGAGACATGGTTTCAGGATGGCAGGTTACTTCCAGTGCATGTGCTAAAACTGGAAGGTGCATCTCTTACATGTTGGGCTGCTTGGTGGCGTCTCTCAGTCCTTCCCATTTCTCCACAGGTTGAGGTGCAGCCAGTCGCAAGGGGCCGAGAGGGGGCTTGGCAAAGGGGACACCAAGGAAAGCATGGGCTCCGGTCTCCTTCCCTTTTACGCTCACATACTCGCCTTTAAGGCTCCCAAGCTTTGTCTGGACTTCTAGTGCTGTTGTCAGGATTTTAATCAGACATCACAACAACCTTTATAGTATGAGATTCCAACTTCTCATTAAAAACACTGAACCAGTGATGTAGTCTACGTGATACGCTGGCATAGAAAAGCTTAAGAATTTCAGTATACCCACTTAAAAGTGCCCAATGATACATGACATATCATTAGACATGTGTCATTGATAAGTTAAATGGCAGTTAAACGCTTTCATAACAATCTATCAGTATGCAGTGCTTGTTTATTACATTCGCTTATCCAGCTAGTTATTGAATAATTAATATTTGTGTACTTACTACTTAATACTTGAAAATATTTTGCTTTGATACTGTGTTATAAATTCTATAACATTTTAATACAAAGCCAACTGTTGTACAAAGTTTGTTGTTCATTTATTCAAATATAAGCATCAGAGAAATTTGGAAATGTTCAATATGCTTAAAAATAAATTGACGATTACATTGTATTAACCAGTGTACTTTGGTCTCTAAGCACAGTACACGGACCGACCAAGGTGAAGTTAGTTTTACGTTGGACATTCACGTTCCGTGGCTTCAACGGTGTCCAACGTAAAACTAACTTTACCACGGTATACCCACTACAAAAATGTAGACTACACCACTGCGTGACTGAACCTATCATAATTATTAATATGCATACTTTTCTCATGCTGCTTCCTCTTCTCTGGCATAGTCTGAGTAACAAAGACAAACCGGTTCTTCTTCAGGTGATGACTAGGTACCTGCTTCTTCAAATCAATCGCCAGGTATTCCTCTTCTGCTCCATACTTTGGCCAATGGACAAGGCCGTCTCCATTGGGAGACCTAGACACACGAAAGTTCTTAACATCTCATTATCAGTGTAAATACTAAAGTTCAACAGGCAGTAATTCCTACCCTGTGCGAGCAAAGTTGCCCCAGTAGCTCATCATGATTCTGCTCAGCTCTTCCTCTTCTTCAGTACATGCATCTAAATTGACAACAGCCCAAAGAAAAGTTAAAATTTTCTAACACGACAAAGCAGATATTTCTGGGTTTGTGTAAACTGCACTTACCAGACAATTTCACATGGGTAGTTGTGAAGCAATATCCAAGCACAGAAAAAATCTCATCTGCATGGTCACTCTTAACAAAGCTAGGCCTTCTTTTCTGCAGGAACAGAGGAGGATGCTGGTACTCGTACAAGTATACGGCGGCACCTGCGTCTAATGGTACAAAAACAAATATGATAAAAGTGAAAAGTTCTTGTCAAACACTAAACAGATTTGCAAAATCTTTAAAATAAATACCTCTGTGAGCATTGGCTGTTTTAATTGCTGGAATGGTAAAAAAAGAATCTCCGAGGAGCTCAGTGTATGCATCTCTGTTTTTCACTCGGTCTTTGCCATCTCTGGCATATTCATTTACAATCAGATCTCTGCTGTATGCATCTGCGGACTTACAGAAATAAAGAAAAGCATGATAAGATGACTGATTATGCAATAAATAAATAAATAAACAAAGTGGTTGAAAGGTAGTACGTGACTTACATCAGGGTAGAATGCAAACAGTGTGTTTATAATGTGCTCCCGATCCATTCCTTCAGTCCAGTTTGGAGGTGCAAAGAACTAAAGAAAAAGAGCCAAGTTATTACAAACACATCAGATTTAAATGGAAAGTCAAAAGAAAAAACTTAAAAAGAAGTAAATTCTTATTTCCCACAAATATCACTAAACATTGCATTCTTACTTTAGCAAGGACAAATCCACCTTCATGGTTATTTACGCCGGTCATGAAAGGTAGGGTGAGGATTTTTTTTTTATGGAACAGCTCATTTATAGGTTTTGTCAGGAAGTGTCCATCAATAATTATAGGAAATCTCAAAGTTAGGTCCTTGAGGAAAAAAAAAAAAAAAAGAAACACGTAAAACGTGGAGGCAGTTTGAAACATATGCAGTAAAAAATAAGATCTAAAAGAAATTGAGAATAAAAACAGTAAAACTTTTCATCCAACATCTCACCTTCCCAAATTCCTCAATGGTATCAATATCAAGATTTCTCATACAATCACCAAACTTCTCTGTGCTTTCATGACTGCAGCCAGATGTGTTTGCAACCATCTAATGATAGATTAAATTTCAATTATTTAGGGAAAAAAACAAAACAATATATAATGTAATATTCTCAATATTATACAATAAAAAACGTGTACACAATAAAACAACTAACCTGCATTACTGGAACAACATCATTCATAAAAAGAACATCCATTGCAGCTGTTCCACTCTCAGCTATGGCATGATGGAACAGCCCGTCAGCCAATGGTGAGAGAAGCTGCACGTTCAAATAAAAAGACAAATTAAAATGTTCTGTTTAAAAACATTTTCTTAAAAATAACTTTACCTCCAGATCAATTCATACCAAAAGGGACACGCTAACTCCACCAGCAGACTCCCCAAATATGGTGACAAGATCTGGATCTCCTCCAAAGTTGTGAATGTGCTCCTTGACCCACCTCAGGGCTTGGAGCTGGTCCAAAAGGCCAAAGTTCCCAGAAACATGTTCATCTCCAGTGCTGCATAAAACACAGCGCGGATATGTGGCACAGATCTGTTTACAACCTTGAGGCTTTGATAACAGTTTGTCCTTTTACCTGAGAAAGCCCAGAAGTCCCAGTCGATACTGGACCAGGACCACAACCACATCCTGGTAGGCAGCCAGAGCAGAACCATCAAACACTGAAGCAGACCCCAATGTAAAGCCTCCACCGTGGATCCACACCATGACCTGAAACAGAAATGAAAACCCTTGATCTGTGGTTCTAATATGTTGCTGCTTTCATTTTTGAGCTCGTTTCTAACAGTCAGACCACGTTAAACTAAACATGACCTGATCCTCACACAGACTTGGTAACAAAACAAAACCTTTTGTGTTTAGAGACTGGTTTTACAGACATCATTTCTCAGCTTGTCATCATATGTTTTTAGGAATATTTACAAGAGATAATGAAACATGTTCCTCTTTTGTGCTTTAGAGCAAATGTTTTTGAAGTCACTTCAAAGTCAATGTGAGAAATAAGCCTCTGTAAGTATTTATGGTCCCCAACGAAGAAAACAAACCATTTATTGAGTGTAACAACTGGTTGAGGCATGTCCTCTGGACGGATTCTTCTTTGTTGAAACGTTCAGTCTTTCAATTAAAAGGCATCTTCAGTCTGAGGAGCTGCACTAAACTCAGTGTTATAAATAGCACCGTCTCATAGTGGATCAACCAGTTTGCTGTTGACAGCTAAAACTACTTATTCGCATGCAAAAGCGTGCCCTGATGGCCTCTTGCTTTTCACAGGGGACTGAGTGATACTCGCAGTAACAGCACTGCAAATGAGGACAGTTGGACACGGTTTCTGGGGGTGGGCGTTTATTTTCAGTTGATGATGGAGGCGTCAGGGGAGGAAGATTAGATATCTCCGTCGTTAATCGAGGAAAAGCGCTATTTTGCAAATGTCTCACGAAAACGCTGCCGTTTTCAACAGACGGTGTAGGATAATGTCCCTACGCTGCGCAGCGGAGGTGCACTCCCTCATGATCAGCATAGCCATGGAGAACCACCTGTGCCTTTGCGCTGCCTCCTTATTATTTCACTATCTTTTAACTTTTGCTGGAATAGTTGTACAGATAGCTGTATTTGTAACAGACTCAGCCAGCTGCTCTCGAGGAGCAGTGTACTGCAGCCACAGAACAACAAAGTGCATTTTTTTGTCACACAACCTCATCAGCGAGATAAAAGTTTGGCACTTTTCATCGAGTATAACTCCGCCTTTATCTACGAGGTGCATGTCTGAGTGTTGTCCTGTGGCTCTCCTGTGAAGAGGTTCAGTTTTGTTAATGTTTTGGCATCCACCTCTTTCTATGAGCACCAAAGGGTCCAAAAAAGGAGCTTGTTGTTGCGAGCAGCCTCTCTCTTCTTGGTGAACTTGATGTTATTGACAGTTGACATGTTGGGTGAACACTTTTACTTCCTTAGCTTAGACTTTGACCGGGTATTGTCCACATATTTGAACAAGTGGCTCTGTACGGTTCCCTGAAAGGAGTTCAGGTCTCACTTTTCCCACTTCCTCCATGACTGAGCCCCGATTGGTGACACTGGAGATCCTACGGCACAACCGAACTTCTGACTGTAAAAACTGTCGTTAGCTTGAAGATAGCTAAAACAATAGAGGAACTGACTGACTAAGTTAATAAATTGTATACGTGATGGAGGAACTACAACACGTTTGGGACTGATGAATTAACGGTCCATTTCACTGTAACGTCACGGAGCATTTACAACCGTGATGTAGTGTTTTAATAAACTCGACTATTTGATTACATTTGTAAGTGGATCATATGAAAATTGGGCCACAGGCAGTAATTATTGCCTTCTACTGAAAAGCCAAGCTGAAAAATTATGTTTTTTTTGCCCGTGTCTGTATGTGGCTCTATCTGTTACTAAATGATCTTATTAACACCTGAACAGTTTGTAAATTAAATTTGTAAAAAGTAACAATGTTTTGAGCTTAGCTAATGCTACTTCTGCTGTTTCCTTCTGTTTGTACTGCACAGGTCAGACAGGTCAATCACAAAGACTTCTTTTTGCTTAATACGAGGCTCAAAGTGTAAAAGAAGTTAGAATTAATCAATTTGACATTCTGGCAGCTTTGTATAGAACCAAAGACATTTTAACAAGAGTCGTATGTGGCCCACAGGTCACTTGTTAAATATCCTGAACTATCCAAAACATCACAATATTTAAATTACGGTCTGTGGCCAACCCACAAATTAAAGAAATGCAAAAGTATTTTAGAATAAAACTCCCATTTATTTTTCTTGCAGTTTACTAAATGCTACATTAAGCTTGATCCGCTGTGAATACTATTGTATAATAAAATACTAAAACAAACAAAAAAAAATCTCAAACACTAACATTCTTCTTGAAATAAGAGTGGTGAAGGCTGCACAGAAATCTGTCGGAATCAGCCTCCCCACCATCACAGACATCTACACCTCCAGATGCAGGAAGAGGGCCACCTGCATCATGAAGGACCCCACTCACCCAGCACACACACTTTTTGCCCCACTCCCCTCAGGAAGGAGGTTAAGGAGCATTAAGTGTAGAACCACTAGACTGAGGAACAGCTTCTACCCTGAGGCTGTTAGACTCATGAATCTCTAACTAGAATAATCACTGTGAAAAACCATATCATGTTGCTGCTGATCTGTTTCATGTTGCTGCTGATCTGTTTTAATGTTGATGTGTTCATGCGTGCACATCTGCTCACAGACTCATGTTTGTGCTGATGTTCAATGTTTTATGTTATGAGTGCTTAGTGTATATTTAGTTGATGTTTTTCTTAGTTCATATCTTAGATGTTATTACTGTTTTTCTTATACATTTTATTGTTGGATGTAACTGGGACCCTGTGTACATAATTTCGCTCCACCACATGTACCACATGAGATGCGAATGACAATAAAGAAACTCTGACTCTGACTCTGAAAGACGCATGCAACTGTTACCATCTTAAAATCAGCAGCAAAGAAACTGCTCTTCAGACAGGATATTAAATCTTGTACCAGCGTATTTTATCTTGTTTGTACAGTATACCACAGATATTTTAATAAAACCCCAGGACAACATGTAAAAATAAGATTAAAACCTTTTCTTTAAAGCCAAACTGCTCAAGAACTCGTATAAAACTTAATTTGTGTCTCCAAACTAAACAGAATAACACAACCTAAAGCAAAGGTTCTTACTGGGAGCTTGGCGCTGTGGGCTCTGTTCGCAGGAGTGTAAATATTCAGGTACAGACAGTCCTCTGAAGTGCCTGGAAGGTCTGCCAACGTGCCACCGAGCAAATCTACCAATTCGTCAAAAAACTGCATGTTCTGAATGCACCTGAAAAGGAGACGTTTTTGTCAAAAAGCATCCTGTGAGTGATGTGCTAAAATGGGAAGGTGCATCTCTTACATGTTGGGCTGCTTGGTGGCATCTCTCAGTCCTTCCCATCTCTCCACAGGTTGAGGTGCAGCCAGTCGCAAGGGGCCGAGAGGGGGCTTGGCAAAGGGGACACCAAGGAAGGCGTGGGCTCCGATTTCATTCCCTTTCACACTCACATACTCACCTTTAAGGCTCCCAAGCTTTGTTTGGACTTCTGGTGCTGTCGGGATTTAAACATGGTTCAGACTCATAATAAAACCAAACCCACACTTCCAAAGTGGCTGAAAACAGGTGAACAATGGCAACATCTAAAGAAGAGCTGTTTGTTTACATTGAGTGCATACCCACATTTCAAAATCCAATAACATGTTTGGAAAACTGCTGAACTCTTTCAAACTGCACCATTTTATAAGGTTCAGGGTGACTTTTTTTATGTTTAGTAATTAGTATCTTTAAAACTGAATTTAACTGCTGCTGTATACGGTGTGTTGGGGGTGAGGTACTTTGAGCTCTGGGATGATGAAATGTATTGGAAACTGACCTTTAGCAGACATTTGTAAGAAAAAACACACCCTCCCTCAGTTCTGACAAGTCTAGTGTTCCCAGATTGCATGCTACACTTTTAATGTCCTCTGTGTTCATTTCCACTGTAGCTCTTCTAAAAAGTCTTGTGTAGAAATGAGAGTTAAGGGACAAACTAAAGATAAGCTTGAGTTATAAGTGACATATCTGTTACCTTTAGCCACAGTGAGCATGGAGGTAAAAGGTAACCACGACTAACGCCCATAGAATCTGTCCAGATGACCTGACTTGACTTTTTTGAGCCCATAAAATGAAAATACTGAGACTTTTAAAATATGACATTCACTGCAGACAGATCTCCATCAGACACTTCTCATAGCCAAAATAATAAGTTTCCCCTACTTACCATGCAGTTCTGCAAAAACACCGAGAAATGAAAAGGAAAAAATACAGCAAATTAGTTTTGCAAGGAACTTCATGGTGTAGTGTGGAGGGGTTGCGACACTCCTGATGAATTCTGCAGAAAGGAAATGTAGCCGCCTTCTTCTACTAGGAAGGTCCGTTCCAAGTTCTGACTGACAGATGTGACTGTCTGATCTGAACCCTCCTCGACACAAGGTCTGTGCACCTGAGGACCGGACTTGAGCAGTTTACCCCCTTCTCAGTTTACCTGCACGGTGTCACGTGATTCCATCTGCGCTCCACCCCTCATCATGGCAACAAATGGTGCGCAATGAAACAAAGCGCCCCGGAACAACTCGGCTTATACTGACATGTCAGGTAAACAACTGCACGTGACCAACTTGTTTCAAGGTTGCCCGTTTTCTTTAAAAACACGCGCAAACATAAATGACCAATTTGTTATTATCTCGCGCAAAAAATATATATCTGACCGTCTATCGCTTCAGATAAGCTCGTCTCATGAAATAGCGAGTTTTTAAAATCAGAGCTTCCGGTGGTCGCGAGTTCGAGACCAACTCCCGCACGTGTTGTCAAAAAAAAAAAAAGAAAAAAGTTTATTTATATAGCGCTAAATCACAGCAAAGTTGTCTCAGGGCACTTTACAGAACAAACATAAGCCAATGAAGTTATCTATCTAGCCAGCACACTCGATGAATCTTCACTTCAAAATAAAAAAAGAGCCGGAAAAGGTTAATTGTTCTTTACTAATATTATTTGCTGTTAAACGTGGGCAAAAATTGCTCATAGTATCAACTTTTTTGAACGAAATTTTTTTTTTTTTTTTTTTTTTTGGCCGCACGGTGGCGCAGTTGAGCTGCTGCCTCTCAGCGAACAGGCCACCCTGGTTCAAATCCCGGTACAGGGGAGAAGGGGCCTTTTTGGGTGGAGTTTGCATGTTCTCTCTGTGCAGGCGTGGGCTTTCTCCGGTTTCCTCCCACAGACCAAAAACATGCATGTTAGGCTGATTAACTCAAAATTGTCTCTATGTGTGAGTGAGAGAGGGAATGGTTGTTTGTTCATGTGTCCCTGTGATGGACTGGAGACATGCCCCTGCCTCTCACACAGCGATTGCTGGACATGGACACCGGCAACCCCACGACCCGAAATGGAAGAAGCGGGCAAAAGATAATGGATGGATGGGTTCTAAACCAGGATTTATTTTAAAAGGTTGATACACCTGGTAAAGTTCATGACATTTCAACACCACATAAGAGCAGTAGTGATTCAGCCCCCCCACCACCATAGTATATAATATTATTTTTTCTATATTACTAAATATACTAAATATTTCTAAATATTAATTACCTAATATGCAGCACGGTGGCGCAACTGGTAGAGCTGCTGCCTCTCAGCAAGCAGGTCCTTGGTTCAAACCCCGGTCCAGGGGCCTTTCTGGGTGGAGTTTGCATGTTCTCTCCGTGCATGCGTGGGTTTTCTCCGGGTGCTCCGGTTTCCTCCCACAGACCAAAAACATGCATGTTAGGCTGATTGGTAACTCTAAATTGTCCCTAGGTGTGAGTGAGAGACTCAATGTTTGTTTGTCTCGTTTGTCTCTATGTGTCCCTGTGATGGACTTGCGACCCATCCAGGATGTACGCTGCCCCTCGCACAGTGATTGCTGGACATGGGCACCGGCGACCCCCGCGACCCAAAATGGAATAAGCGGGTAAAGATAATGGATGGATGGATGAATTACCTAATATGTCCATCCATTATCTTTTACCCGCTTCTTCCATTTTGGGTCACGGGGGTCGCTGGTGCCCATGTCTGGCAATCACTGTGCGAGGGGCGGGGTACACCCTGGACAGGTCGCAAGTCCATCACAGTACTCTATGTACTATAATAATAAAAGGTTTGAAATGCTAAATATGTGTTACACAAGCATTGCAGTACCAATAACTGTATATGAACAGACACAAAAGTATAAAATACACGCAATTTTACAAACCAAACATTTCTAACAAACAAACTTTATAACAATAAACTGAATAGAGGTAAAATGCACAAAACCAAAATAAAGGCAGAACAAAAACACAGCTGCTAAATGCAGAGTAGATCATAGAGACTGGAGCGCCCTCACTTCCAGCTGTTCTTTTCTGTCTCTAGCTCTGCCCTCCAGTCGTCATAAGACTGAGTCAGATTGTTCACAGTAACATCCATCCATCCATCCATCCATCCATCCATCCATCCATCATCTTCCGCTTGTTCAGAAGTCGGGTCGCGGGGGCAGCAGCTTGAGCAGGGAGGCCCAGACATCTCTTTCACATCCTCAACATTCTGGAAGAGTCAATGGGGGAAACTGATGTGGTAATCAAAAAAGACCATGCTCAATAATCCAGGTATACAATCCAACAATTTCACGTTTCAGCAAAAAAAAGAAACTGTCCAGATGACCTGACTTAAAATTGTTGGAGATGTGGTCATCTTTCTTTAATAACCGGTCAGCAGGGGTCGCTGTTCTACAAGGGACGTTCAGAGGAAGTATTACGCACCAATTTACAGACACCAAATCTAGTAGTTGATATTGATCAGACACAATTTATAATAATAAATATTTATGTCTTCAACAACCACAAACAAAATATCAACTTATTTTCAATGATTTAAAGCAGTACCGATTCAATATTATCCTTTTTCGATGGACGAGAGTGTGGACAGATGGCCACCGAGAAATGGAACACCATCCAATTTATTCATTCAACCTTTATTTAGACAGGTTAATCCCATTGAGCCTCGAGGACTCATTTACAAGAGAGACCTGATTTCAACAAAGAATGATGACAACAATAGACAATTATAAAAAGGCATACTGATTTTTTTTTTTGTTACAAATTAAAATAAGATGGTAAAACAAGTAGAAAAAAACAGCTAGATTAAGATGAATGTAGAAAACTAAAAACAGGAACATGTCTGCATTTAGAACCCATCTGTAATAGAATGGGCCTAATTGATATATGGAGAAATAAACATTTGGATTCCAATCTTTACACATGGAGTAATAAGGACGGATCACAACAGTACAGTATTATGTATTATACAGTATGTATTATGTATTATACAGTATGTATTATGTATTATACAGTATGTATTATGGCATACAGCTCATGAAAACCCAAAATGCCCGTCCCAAAAAATTAGCATATTTCATCCCACCAATGAAAGACAAGTGTTTTTAATACAAAAAACGCCAACCTTCAAATAATCATGTTCAGTTATGCACTCAATACTTGGTCGGGAATCCTTTTGCATGAATGACTGCTTCAATGCGGCGTGGCATGGAGGCAATCAGCCTGTGGCACTGCTGAGGGGTTATGGAGGCCCAGGATGCTTCGATAGCGGCCTTAAGCTCATCCAGAGTGTTGGGTCTTGCGTCTCTCAACTTTCTCTTCACAATATCCCACAGGTTCTCTATGGGGTTCAGGTCAGGAGAGTTGGCAGGCCAATTGAGCACAGTAATACCATGGTCAGTAAACCATTTACCAGTGGTTTTGGCACTGAGCAGGTGCCAGGTCGTGCTGAAAAATGAAATCTTCATCTCCATAAAGCTTTTCAGCAGATGGAAGCATGAAGTGCTCCAAAATCTCCTGATAGCTAGCTGCATTGACCCTGCCCTTGATAAAACACAGTGGACCAACACCAGCAGATGACATGACACCCCAGTGACTGTGGAAACTTGACACTGGACCTCAAGCAATGTGAATTCTGTGTCTCCTCTCTTCCTCCAGACTCTGGGACCTTGATTTCCAAAGGAAATGCAAAATTTACTGTAATCAGAGAACATAACTTTGGACCACTCAGCAGCAGTCCCAGGCGAGATGCTTCTGACGCAGTCTCTTGTTCAAAAGTGGCTTGACCTGGGGAATGCGGCACCTGTAGCCCTTTTCCTGCACACACCTGTGCACGGTGGCTCTGGATGTTTCTACTCCAGACTCAGTCCACTGCTTCCGCAGGTCCCCCAAGGTCTGGAATCGGCCCTTCTCCACAATCCTCCTCAGGGTCCGGTCACCTCTTCTCGTTGTGCAGCGTTTTCTGCCACACTTTTCCCTTCCCACAGACTTCCCACTGAGGTGTCTTGATACAGCACTCTGGGAACAGCCTATTCGTTCAGCAATTTCTTTCTGTGTCTTACCCTCTTGCTTGAGGGTGTCAATGATGGCCTTCTGGACAGCAGTCAGGTCGGCAGTCTTACCCATGATTGCGGTTTTGAGTAATGAACAAGGCTGGGAGTTTTTAAAAGCCTCAGGAATCTTTTGCAGGTGTTTAGAGTTACGTCGTTGGTTCAGATGGTTAGGTTAATAGCTTGTTTAGCGAACCTTTTCATGATGTGCTAATTTTTTGAGACAGGCATTTTGGGTTTTCATGAGCTGTATGCCATAATCATCAGTATTAAAACAATTAAAGACCTGAAATATTTCAGTTGGTGTGCAATGAATCTGAAATATATGAAAGTTTCATTTTTATCTTTACATTATGGAAAATAATGACCTTTATCACAATATGCTAATTTTTTGAGAAGGACCTGTATTTAGGGATCACTCTCCACTTTTACTTGATATATAAAGTCAAAATCTGCACACCAAATAAATGTAAGCCATTTTGTGTCTTTTTAAGGCTCATTAGCTTGTGGCGGTCGTCTTGAATCAGGTCGACTCCAAAAAGTTTTATTAAAATTTCTCCAGTGTTTCATGAGATATTTTTGTAACCAACAAACACACATTACTAATACAGTAATATCCTGTACTGTTCTAAAATATGTTTTATTTTCTTTTGTCCTAGACACTAAATACCGTATACTCATTTGTCCACAAATTATAGTTCACGGTTTCATAAAATCTCACAAATTCATTTAACAGGATAAATCAGATCACGGTTTCCTTTAACTTTTTGAAAGTGTTACGTTAAGAGTCTTTTTTATTTTTTGCTCCAAGAGACAAATGTTTGAAAAGCAGCTGTTGGTGATGCCATCATTGTTCTTTTTTTTTGTTGGATCAGTTAAGTCATGCACTTAAAATAAATAGACATTAAGGTTCAACTTTTTGCACTCTTTTGCAAATATTTGTTTAGCTTGCACCAACTGCATCGTGAGAAACCAGCGTTTTATAAAAACACAACTTTTATTCTGGTGTATGACAAATAGGAGGCCTGAAAGCAAATACTAATTTGGCCCTCTGTATACCTCAAAACTTTCATGCAACATCTTACAGCAGGATGCATTCTTGCTGAAACATTCTCTGCTTTATGTTGTTGCTCTACCACTTAAAAAAAAAAAAAAAGTTAAATGATAGGAAATATTTAACAAAAAATACACATTAACACACCTGATTCAACGGTTGAATTACCTCTTCATGCAGAAACTAGTTTTTACATGTTTTAAATTACTTTATTTTACCAGGAAGAAATCCATTGAGATCATCACTCTTTTACAAGGATGTCCTGGAAATCATAATCATCCACTGATTCAAACCAGGTGCGTTGGAGCCGAGAAATAAATAAAACATGCATGATAGTAGTCCTTGATTTTAGCTTTCTGAGTGTTTGAGACGATGCTCAAGTGACAATTTTTTTAGGAGTCACCACAGTGAAATAAGCCGGATGCCCTTCCTGACCACAGAGATACCACAGCCTACTGTCTGGAGCAGGGCGCTGCAATCTAGAGCACCCGGGGGAGCAGATGATGGGGGTTAAGGACCTTGCTCAAGGGCCTAGAGTGGGGTGAATGCAGGTGGAGGCAGGTGTGGGTGCTTCACCTATCCCACACACATTTTGATGTCGGTATCGGGAGTTGACCCAGCGATCTTCCGATCACAGACCCACCTTCTCCTCTGTGCCACCACCAACACAGCGCTCGGGTATGACCATACTTTGCTCAGACTCTGTAAAACTCACTGAGTTCTAGCCAATTTTTGCCTTTGCTATGGTCTTTTAGCTTTGGCAGCCATCTTGAATTAGACTGACTCAATGGGGTAATCATTTATAGATGTACATCCAATGTTGATTTTGAGTTTCATTAAAATCCATTCAGTGGTCTGTGAGATAGTAGTTTACTAACACACCAACACAGAGACCTGAGCAAAAATATTTTTGCTCTTCCATCTTCAACAGCATCCAATAATGAGATTTGACTTTTCTTTTTGAATCATTTCATCACACTTCAATACACACACACACACATTAAAATATCCCCGTGAACTATTTTTCTTTTTAAAAATAGTTTTCTGACATATAGATCTTCACATTTTTATAACAAAAAATGAAAAATCACATTATAAACAGGTTATATTTTCAAATCGGCACGCCAAAACAGTAGTGCATTAAATTTGTATCCTTATGCAATTTGTTTACAAGTATATACAGAAGTTGTATCTGAAGCATTTATTTAAAAAAAACAAAACAAAACAAAAAAACGCCATTTCTCAATGCAGTTCTGGTTTTCTCACCATATGTAACATTTAAAAAAAAAGGGGAAATTGTTGCGGAAATAATCCATTGTAAATTGCTTTTCGAGATAAAAGTAATTCACCTTTTTGAGAAGATTTAGAAATACAAGTTATAATAACAATTATTTTAAATAAACCACATTGTTGATGAGAGCAAAAAGTCTGAACAAAAAAATTGTTCTAACCTTAACCACCACTCCTTAAACAAAAATAAATCCATTAATTTTCCTATTTTAGTATTGAAAAGAAATTCACCCAACTTATTTTCTTCTTAAGCATTTCACACATACAGTACATGAATTGCTGCTTGCCCTGAAAGCAGAGAAGAGCCCTTGCTGTTCAAACCACTCTTTAAAAGTCTTTGATTACGTTTTGGATTTTCCATCTCTGGCCGGTGCATTCCCGTATTAGAAGCACTTCATTTTCAATTTCTAGACATCTTTTTGTCTCCTTGTTTTTAATTTCTTTGCCCTGAAATTAGAGATTAAAAGTAATTATTGGTTTTATTTCATATGCCATGACTTTATTTTCCATCTCTAGTTTGTTTTGCAGTACCTGAGAGAAATCCCAGTATATCCCCATTCTTTTCTGCATAGCCTCTTTGCAGTTGTACAGGCCAGGCTCGGTGTTTTTCTGTCCTTGGTCAGCTACACATCGGTTGTCATTGTACTTGTGGGACTTGATGCCTCCAATGTAGAGTTCACCATTGCCACGATAATATGCAATCTCAAATAAAGAACAAGAAAAGAAAAGCAGACAGTTGTTAAACACCACCGACAACAGAGAAAAACTTTGTTCTTGACTACCTGCTCCTCTTACCTGTGGGCCGTAGTAAAAGCAGTGGTAGGCAATGGGTGTGTGACCTGGTACTGGACCCTGGTCTACGCACATTTTAGCATCAAGATTTTCCAGCTGCCGATAGAAGAACAAACATTAAGACAAGAAGAATTCTCTTAAAAATGACCAAATGCACACAGCAATGCATCTGCCATGTTTCTTCTGCCACCAAATGGGAATAAACTTACTCCTCCATAAGCAAGCAGGTTGTCCCAGGGGTCCAGCTTAGGATACACATTCTCCAGGTACCATTTGAAAGGTTTACAGTTCAGCCTTTCTCTGAGTTTCTTCCTCTCAGTGACATCTCCAATGTCAATTCCATGATTCTGCAAAGAAATATCATGGGGTGATTTATTAGAAAGATGTAATTTATGACAATTTCATCCCCAGTTCCAATGCAAAAAAACAAAACATGCACAATCAAGACTTTGAATGCATTTATTAAACTTTCAGTTGTGAACCATTTACTGTTCATCTTATGTCCCTAGTGTAGGGGACATATTTTTAGCTGTTTGGGTACCTCAAATGGCAGGTTCCATGCCAAGTTGATGTTGTGTTTGTATTCATCCATCCAGACCTCTGCAACTCTCAGGGCATTTCTCTTCATGGAGGGACCCAGGTCCAGCATATAGGGCTTGTGATACCTTTCAATATGGGCGATCTTGGAGCATGGCACCACCTCAATAGAGCCTCCACACGTCCAGACCTACACAAGAAAAATGAAAGCAATTATTTACTTTTTTTTTTTTTTTTTACTGCTTCAAACATAAAATAAATAGCCAAAGAATGCCTTTCACTTTTAGATCTTCTGCCAGTCCTCCTGGAAAGGCCAATAAAATCTGTAAAATTATAGGAATACCTCATACACACTGCTCCTCTTACAGGTCTGTTTACAGATTGTCTGTCACATTTCCGTTGATTAACTGACCTTCAGCCTAAACATCTGGAAATGGTCTGAATTTTATTGACTGAAATGTATTAACTCATTCAGCTGTTTATTTGCAGTAAACAAGTTTGACAAATGGCTAAACAATTTCGTTTTAACTCAACTTTTTTAAAATTTTTATAAAGCCCGTTAAAACTCCTCAATGAAACTAAGTGCTGTTCAGTACAATGCAACAGAAGCCAATGTACAAATAATTAACACTAGATATAAAGATGAAAAAGAAGACGATAATAAACATAAAAATCAACACTTAAAAGGTAGCAAAAGCCAAAGAATAAAAATGAGTCTTAAGCAAGGACTTAAAAGCAGCTACGGAGGATGCCTGTCTAATGTGCAATGGCCATTTGTTCCACATTTTTGGTCCCACCACCTCAAAAGCACAGCCCCCTTTGAGCTTACACCTGTTTCTTGGCACAGTTAGGAGCAGCTGATCTCCTGAGGACGGGCAGGTACATAAGGTTCCAATAGCTCAGAAAGCTAAGGAGATGCAAGACCAGTAGATATTTAAAACCAAAACCATTTAAAAATGGATTTGCAGTCAATGAAGAGATTTTAAAACTACCAAAATGTGATTAAACTTTCATATGTAATTTAAAGACATGCCACTGTATTTGTACAATCTGTAAACGGGTGATTGAGGATGCACTACCACCAACATACAGAGCATTGGAATAGTCCAGCCAAGTTGTAACGAAGGTGTAGGTCACCGTTTCAAACACCTGCTGGGAAAGAATGGACCTCATCTTGGCCAGCTGTCTCAAAGGAAAGAGACGAGATTTTACAAATGACTTTATCTTATTGTCAAATTTAAGATTGCCATCAATTTTGACCTGTAAAATAGGGACAGTTAGTTTGATGTACTGAGCAAGGGAACCATGATGTAAAGAGGCAGAGGCAGTTACCAAAACCATCACTTCAGTTTTCTCCTCTTGAAAATTTAAAAATTTTAGACAACTGAGCCTGAATCTCATAAAGGCAATCAAATGACGGTCTTGCAGACAGGACATCTTTTTCATTTAGAGGCAGATAAATCTGGCTGACATCAGCATAGCATTGGGAAGGAATACTAAGCTTCTTGAAAATGGAACCAAGAGGGAACAAATGAGGGAAAACAATAGAGACCCAAAGATTGAACCCTGGGGAACTCCATACACAACAGGGCAGAAGAAAATCTAAAAATCACAGATGCTGACAGAGAATGTTCAGCCTACCAGATAGGACCTGAACCACTCTAGTTTTAATGCCCCAATACCTACCTGCTATTCTAAACCAGTGATTACAATCTTGTGATTTATTGTATCAAATAAAGCTGGCAGGTCTAAAAACACAAGCACCACACAATCACCAGAATCAACAGATAAAAATGCCATTAAAAATTATTTTAAAAAAAGCAGACTCAACGCTGTGCAAAGTTTTAAAACCAGATTGAAAACCCTAAAATATTTTGTCACTCTTAAAACACAAGTCTATTGGCCATAGAACAAAGTCCATGCTCAATAATCCAGGTATACAATCCAACATTTTTCAGTCAGGTCATCTGGACAGTTTCTTTTTTTTTTTTGTGCTGAAATGTTTCGCCTTCGGTCCGGAAGGCTTCATCAGTCAAGGTGCGTTTCCTTTACTGATGAAGCCTTCCGGACCGAAGGCGAAACGTTTCAGCACCAAAAAAAAAAAAGAAACTGTCCAGATGACCTGACTGAAAAATGTTGGATTGGCCATAGACTTTTTGACATAAATGGCAGTTTAGAAATACTGTAGATCAGACTGCAAGGTCCAAATGTGATTATTATTATTTTTTTAATCAACAGCCATACCAGGGCTTTTTTGAAATGATCAGGGACCACACCAGAAGACAGCCTGCTATAATGAACTGCAAGGACAAATGGTCCCACAGAGGGAAAGACCTCCTTTAAATAGTCAAGGGGGTACAGGGCTATCCGGAGAACCTGAGGGTTTTAACTGACCATTTTGCAGCCAAGATAAAGTCACTGCCTCAAATGTATCTAAAGCAGCAGAAAGTAGAACCAAAACAGAAGGGTCATGTGCCAGAGATACAATCTTATTGATTAAAAAAAAAAAAAAAAGCTAAAAAAAAATCTTCACAGAGAGGAAGAGGCTTCAACCAGATGAGCCTGTTCAGCTTTTTATTTGCATATTTGAAGATGCATAAAAAAAAAAAAAACCCAGTTTGTTGACTTTTTCAAAAAGTTTATAGTTTGTGCAGGATCTTTGCACTGAATAACAGGTTTTATAGTCTTCACTGATACTTTTATAGTCTACTGATACTACATCAGTTTACATTACTTATCAAACTGTTTGGTTGTTGTTTTGATAAGTCTGTGACTGTTAAAGTAAAATGTGTTAAACATTGCATTATCTGGACTTAGACATTTAGCAAAAACCAGGGACCAAAATTGATCATTTGGATCTGAAACGTGATCAAACTTTCAGCTGCTTTTATATCCCAATGTGCACCATCCCCTAAATCTCCACTATAAACTTATTTTATGTATATTTTGATACAATTACTATGCACAAAATATTAAATTGAGTGTTGTATGTGTATTTTTTTTGTATCTAAATATTTCCAGTTGTCTTACAATATGAATCGTCTCCAAAATTTGTTTCATCTTTTTGTTGTAGCTACATATTTCATTATTAAGGACCTTTAGACAAAAAAAAAAAAAAGATCCCAGAACTTAAGCTGCTGATGCGTTAAAATCATCTTGTGTTGTTTTGTCATTCTAAAAGATGTACAAAACAATCCTACCAATCAAAGAAAATAAATACATATGTAAAAACTGGAATAAAAAAAAGTTTTATCCTCACCCCATCACTGCTAGATAAATAAGGAAATTGTGTTCCGAGGTATCCTGACTTTCATGCTACAGTATTCTCACAAGGCAAACAGCAGATGTTTAATTGTCAACTTAAACACTTTTTTCAGGCGTGCTAATATTAATCAGTAAATAAGCTTACTCGGAAATGACCCAGTGTTCTGTTGACTCTGTAAGATAACGTGATATTACTGTCACTTCTATTTCAACTGAAAATGCAAGTAACGTGCGACTGTTGAATGAGGCATTAACAAAACTGTTAAACCAATAACAGAAATATATGATCATGTTCAACTATTGATATGAAAACTGTTGTAAAAAGCAATCAAAGTAATATTCTTCCAGATGTCACAAATTTTTTTTCATTTCTTTCACTGTTTATTAGGTTAGTCTCTCTTTAAATATGTGCAATTTTTTTATTGGTACTTTTGTTTTGTGATTTCACTTTTTTTGCTACAATTAGAAATGTCAATGTTTTTTTTTTATTGTAATAATCAAGTCATGATTGCTGTATTTGCCTGTATTCATTTGTATGCAAACAGCTGGGTGACAATTAAAATGTTGGATTTCCACATTCTTTTCTGACTTTTAAACAGTTCTTTAATCTTTGTTGTGATCTTTGTTGTATCTCGTGTCAGATTAAAAATTACTAGAAATTTGTTAAATAAAAGACAATTTCTTATGTATTCCTGTTAAATTCATTTTTTACTGGTTTCATTATTATTAATATGCCCGCATTTACGTTAAACTTAGGATCAAAACAGAACAGTTATGTTGTTGAATGCAATTACATGAAAAACAGAACCAGAGTTATATCTTGCAACTCCAACAGACTCCAAAATGTGCTTTATTTGTAGTTTAATGTTTTATATTTACTTACACGAATTCCAAGCTCTACATTTTCTCCACCATACACTCTCATTCCTTCATCGAGAACTCCGATTTCTCCGAGGTACGCTCTATCGGCCACCAGGATCCCCATGACAGATGGACTCCTAAAATGAAGCAAGGACACCATTAGAGCTTTATTTCCTTCATCTCTGGATCACAAGTAAGCCGACGAGAGGTAATGTCCCTGACAGATCATCAATCCATCAGAGGCAGACAAACATGGTGACCAAACATTGACTCACACTTTAGTGTCTCCAATTAACCTAACATGCATGTTAGCCCTGAACAGGAAGCAGCATGAAGAAAAGCAAAACAAATTGAGAAATGAGATGTCTCAACAATAAGACTACAGGCTGGGAAATTTGTGGTTTCAACTATAAAAAAAAAAACCCTGAAACGTCATCCCATAAGTAGTCAGAGCCCTTATTATGAGTGGCACCCTTCCAGTTTTTCTTTGTTTGCTAAGATGTTTCCACAAGTTTTTTTTTAGCCTGCCCATGTGTATTTGCATTAACTAGGCTTTATTGGCAAAGACATAAACCCGTTTGTGTAAAATGTTGCAAGTAAAGCCTCAGAGTCTTCAACAATTCTTAGAATACCAGTATGATTAGAAAAATCTTAATGTAAAATGTGTTTTGAAAGACTCTTAAGCTTGGATTACAATTTACATTTTAGAAAAAAACAAATCATCCATCCATCCATCCATTTGTTCCAAAATCAGGTCACGGGGGCAGCAGCCTGAGCAGGGAGGTCCAGACATCTCTTTCCACAGCCACCTCTTCCAACTCTTCTGGGGGGACCCCAAGGTGTTCCCAGGCCAACCGAGAGACAGTCTATCCAGTGTGTCCTGGATCTTACCCGGAGTCTCCTCCCAGTTGGACATGCCCGAAGCACCTCCCTAGGGAGGTGCCAAGGGAGCATCCTTACCAGATGTCCGAACCACCTCAACTGGCTCCTCTCGGCGTGTAGGAGCAGTGGTTCTACTCAGAGTCTCTCCCAGATAACTGGACTTACCCTATCTCTAAGGGAGAGTCCAGCTACCCTGCAGATGAAACTCATTTCAACCACCTGTATCCACAATATCATTCTTGCAGTCACTACCCAGAGCTCGTGACCATAGGTGATGGTAGAAACGTAGACCGACCGGTAAACAGAGAGCTTTGTCTTACAGCTCAGCTCCCTCTTCACCACAACGGACCGGCACAGAGTCTGCAATACTGCAGACGCACCAATCCATCTGTCAGTCTCACGCTCCATTCTTCCCTCACTTGTGAACAAAACCCCGAGATACTTGAACTTCTCCACTTGAGGCAGAACCTCACCCTCGACTTGAAGAGAGCAATCCACCCTTTTCCGACTGAGGACCATGGCCTCAGATTTGGAGGTGCTGATCCTCACCCCAGCCACTTCACACTCGGCTGCTACTCGCTCCATGAGAGCTAAAGATCACAGCACGATGACGTCAACAGGACCACATTATCTGAAAAGAACAGAGATTGAATCCTGAGGCCACTGAACTGGAATTCTTCTGCCCCCTGGCTGCATCAAGAAATTCTGTCCATACGTTATGAACAGAATCTATAACAACGGCAGCCCTGGCAGAGTCCAACTCCCACCCTGAAGGGGTCCGACTTACGGCCGGCAATGCAAACCAAACTCTCGCACTGCTTGTATAGGGACCAAACAATCCCAAGACACAAATTTTTTAAAACTATAAAAGAGCTGATATTTCAGAGCAAAAATAAAAAAGAAAGATGATGCCTTTGTAATACAGCAGAGTTAATACAGTTAAAAGTTTTACACAGTAAAATCAGAACACACCATAAATTTACTTGAACTTACTTTCCAGGCAACGAGCTGTCGTTTAGTTTGTAATAATCGGGAGAAAACCCCTCATACATGCACCACAAAGCCCAGTCGAAGGCATGTGCTGCTGGAAGGTAATTAATAACCTTGAGATCATCAAAGTTGACTCTGTCAAACACTGGAGAAACCACTGTGGTCCGGTCCTTTTTGATCTGCGTCAGTAAAGGTTCAACCCTGGATGAGGAGAAGAAAGAAGAGCTAGGTCACAATCTGTTTAATAAACCTCATTCTAATTCTCAATGTACTAAAACTTTTGTCATCTTTTTCACTAGCCAGTGCTTATTTTGTTACCACAATGGGTGACAAAATGCATATAGTTTGAAAAACTATTTTTCTTTTCAGTTACACATGTGCTGTGTCTGTTAAATGGGTGCAGCGTTTCAAAGATTCAGGGAGTGTCTCCCTTAAAAGGATCAACATGGAGACAAAAGCTTAGACAAAAAAAGCCGAACAAGCCATTTGTTAAGTCATGCAATATTACTGCTCCATTAGTACGCTGTACTTTGCCACAGCTTTAGAAATAGATGTAGGAGAAGGCGGTGGCCCGTCTGAGCAGGGCCCACACGACGAGCAGCAACACAGTCTATTGCATCAGACTCTGGCTTAATGGGCACTTGTGTGTGAGAGAGATTGTCAATGCAAATAAGATGTTAAACAAACAAACAAAAAACTTTGTAGGAGCAAATGTGTCCTATTTAAAAAGATGAATGTTGATCTAGTCAGAAACTCAAAGGAAAGAAACTCCTCAAACTTCAATTCAATTTATTTATATAGAGACAAGTCACAACAGAAGTCATCTCGGGGCACTGAACAGAAATATTAAATAACTAAATAACTAAATAAATAGAGAGATAGAGAGAGATAGAGATAGATATATATTTAAGTGAATAACATTAATTATCTGAGGAGCAGACACAGACTCATCTTGAGTAAGCATTGAAGGCAACAGTGGAAAGGAAAAACTCCCTCATGAGGAAGAAACCTTTAGCAGAACCAGGCTCAGGACAAGCGGCCATCTGCTTCGACCAGCTGGGTTTGAGAGGAACAGGAAGGAGGAACAGATACACAATGGCAGGTCCAGAATGTTAAGATAGAAATAGTATCAAATGAAAACTATTCAATTGTAACAATTCATTTAAGGTAACAAGGTCAATTTGTCCTCTAGTAATTTAAGCCTATAGCAGTATAACAAAGTCAACCCTAACTATAGGATTTATCAAAAATACATCAGCACTTTGGTTGGCCTTGTAGCTTTTTTAAGTGCTCTATAAATAAAGTGGTATGGTATGGTATGGTAAAAAGGAAAATCTTAAGCCCAGTCTTAAAACTGGACAATGTGTCAGCCTTACAGACAGAAACTGGAAGTTGGTTCCACAAGAGATGAGCCCGATAACTGAAAGATCTTCCTCCCATTCTGCTTTTGGAAACTCTAGGAACTGCAAGTAAGCCTGCAGTCTGAGAGGGAAGTGCTTTGATTGGAAAATATGGAACAATAAGATCTTCATTATAAGATGGACCTAGGTTGTCGAGGGCTTTGTAGCAGGTATACTGTAGTTTCGATGAAAAGCTTGTATTTCTAATTACGCAGGTGAAATTTCTCCAAGTTATGGAAGATCTGCAGCTCTACTACACATTGAAGTATTCCCTGGGCAAGACACTGAGCTCCCAAAATGGCCTCAGCTATTCCCATTTATGTTTCGTCTGTTGAGAATAAGCATGTCCATGAATACTAAGCAGTGCAGGATTGAGATAAAGTTAAATTACATCATTTAAGCAACACCCCACATTCTTACCACATCTCGTGGACTTCAATGTGTGCGTCCAAGATGGCCACCACATCGGCCGTCGCAGCTCTCCACCCAGAGGCTCTGGCGAAAGCAAGGCCTTTCTGCTCATTGTGCCGTACTCGGGTGATATGGAGACCTGGGTTCTCATCCTCGAGGGACTTTATATACAAGTCTAGGTCACCCTTCAGGTTTTCTGTAAATAAAAAAAATAAAAAAACGAATGTGGGCAAACAAGATTCTGCGAGCTACAGCAACCCAGGTTCAAAGGAAGGTAACATCTTGGAGGAAAGTTTGATCACAAACACGTTTCAGATTGCAGCAGGCATGTGCCAAACGGTGATGAATACTTTGAAAGAACGTTACAAATCCAGGCAGAACTCGCCAGCTCTCATCTGCTCAGCCTTTAAATAGTTTGGCAACAACAGAAAAGTTAGAGCATTTTAATGCCAAGGTAAAACTCTTGTTAAAAGCTTAAAAGTTAAAAGCTCTTGTTATTTTTCAATTAGTTTAAGAAGTTTAGTTTAAAACCATAAACTTGTAACATTAGCCACTGGTGAGAAAGCCTGCATGGACCAATAGCTACAATATGAAACATGTTACGCTGCTTTCCACGGAATTTCTCTAAAAGGTGAATTAATTTGCCTAACACGTTCTGCCTCATTCATTAAAATACAGCATTTACCTACTTTCAGACAGGATGTGCAGAAACGTTCTGATAGAATGAGTCCAGATGGAAATCTGAACATTCTTAGATCTGCTTACACTTTTGAGGCACAAGAAGTCGTTTTACAACTAATCCAGTGTCAAAGGTAACTATTAAGTGTTTATGTGCTCGCTAAAGAAACCATTTGTAACGTAGGCATTTGTTTTTCTTGTTTATGATGGGGTTAAATAGCCGTCCATAACGTGACACAAGGAAAAATTTGGATAAACGCAAATATGCTTCACCCTGAATCTGAAAAAACAATCCTAACCCAACCACCTTTTTAATCCTCCAGGCTGATGTTTGGTATGCTTTTGGAGTACAGTTTTAGGGATATGAATAAAAAAAACACCCTAAAATTAAACAAATTCATAGCAGAAAGTCTTTTATTAATGTGCAGCTCCAGATCCATTCAATAAAAAGGCCTCAGAAAAACTGGTTCATCAACTCAAACGAGATTTTTTTTTACACACTTGTGCTAACTGGAATCGGGGTTAAAAAAAAATCCCATTAAATCACACCGCGTTAGCATATTCTGCTGGTCAGTAGATTTTTATTTAAGGGAATTGCTTCCTATTCTTGGGAAGAGAGATCAAATCCAGCATATTTCACTTTGACAGAATTTACGTGGCTGAGTATGTTACAAGGATTCACCCACACAACATGCCCTACTTTGTCCAGCTGTAACTACCAGGTGAGCTGTTTGCTCCTGTTGCACAATCATTTTGTAACCAACCTACCATTAGAGCTGTTGTCATCCACCATGACGATCTCCTTCAGCAGGTTTTTAGGTGTGCGATCGATGATGCTGCGTAGGGCTCGTTTGAGGATAGACAAGGCTTCATCCAGGTAGATTAGCACCACACCCACAGTTGGCAGGTCCTTTGGGTAAGTCTTCTTTAAGCACCTGGCCAAAAGACATAATGTTTGAATCATTTTGCAATCCACTGTTTACAATGATGGATGGATGAATGTTTTGGCAAGCTGTCTGAAGAGACAAGTGGAAGAAGGGAGTGGAGTTTAACAAGAACATTTAACAGTCAATTATTTGTCAAGGAAATATTTGTACCTTGGATCTCTCGTTTCTGGAAGCGGTCGGTCCAGAGGGAGGCGGTCGCTGAGAAAAACATTGTAGCCGTACTTCTCAAACAGAGCTTGGGCCTCTCGTTGCTCATCCTCAGACAGATTGTCACCCCACTCCTTGAAAATGGGAGAGTTGGGGAACACTTTGCTGTTTTTTTTATTTTTAAGTGATGTTTTTTCGTCAAGTTTCTCTTTCTGCTCTGGCGCCGAATGACCTGAATGGACCGCGTCCTTCAGGACCTCTGCAATTTTTCTCTGGGTGTCCCTGTCCTCCTGCAGTAATTTCTGCATGGCATCCTGCTTTTGCTCAAAGCTTTTAAGGACTTTAGCTTCATGTTAAAAGAGAGAAAAAAGGAGAAGAGAAAAAAATGAGTCAAGGTCAAAATACTGTGCTCCACATAGAATCTGTTTAAACTGTGAGCATGTGTGCATTTGTAGAACTTATCACTTATTTAAATATGGACATTTTATACACAGCCTACTGTATATTTTGGATAGACAATAACCATAAAAGTGTAATTATGATCCAATGCCCCTCTAACCACATTTTAAAGGGTTTTAAGTGGTTGTTAAAAAAATATATATATATCACACTGGTATACAATGGTTTATGTACTATATATATTCTATACACACACACACAAGTAATTTGAACATACGCAGTCAAAGAAAATCAGTTTTTATTCATTTACTTCAAAAGTAGTTTTGTAAAATCGTAGCGACTTAATGTCACGTGACAAGATCAGAGGTCAACTGGGATAAAGAAAAGGCACCTTGCAACATAAAAATCAGCATACTTTCTCAAATTCACAGCAAACTTCCATTTTTTTTAGCTAAATATAAAAATGTGAATCAGTTTAAAGTTAAATAAGTGATGATTCCAGACTCAACGCAGCCTCCAAATTTGCCAAGACCTCAACAAACACCCAACAAATAGCAACACTTGTCAATGTTTTCCCTAATTAATAGTATCCCTAATACTACCTCATTCATCTAAAATAAATCCACAAAAACAAAATACATCACCTCGACAATTTAATGTAGCATGCAAATATTTTCTTGTTTGTTCGCTTGCTAGGTTTACGTCTGGTCAATGACCTGATCGGACTTAACATTGATTGTGATTTTAACACAACTAATTAATTCATTAACCAGCATTACCAGGGGCAATTCTAGAATCTGACCTTTAGGGGTGTTCAACCCCCAGTGAACCCAATGGCTCTTGGCTTGAACAACATGGTGACAATTGGTGTCAGAAACATTCATAATGTATTTGTGTGTGTGTGTGTGTGTGTGTGTGTGGGGGGGGGGGGGGGG